GTGAGGTGTGCAGCAGCCCCCGGGTGAAGGGCTCAACTACAACCTGAACTTTACCTCTGACACATAAACCATGTAACCTAAACATTTGTAGCCCCGTATTAATCTGAAATAAAAAACGGTTGAAAAACGACGTCAAAAAAATTTAGCATAATGAGCTCAGCATTCACAGTCACTGAGCCAAAGTTTCCTCTCCCACGCTATCCCCAGGCCCATTGTGCTCCCTGTAAGCACCGAGTGTGACCCTGAAAGTGTACGGAGGGAACCCTAAACAGAAAATTGCTGTGATACGAAAATCGGTAATGAGAAAATAAGTATGTGTTAGCAGAAACGCAGACACCCACAGGAGACTCCTGGGGCACAGGAGGGAGAAAGACACATTTCACTTTTCTAGGGTGTTGCCTAAAAGTCGAAAATTGATTTATTGGAGCCCAGAAAATAGGATTCATTTATTTTTGCAAAGTCAGGTGAGCAGAAAAGCCTGCTAATTTCATTCAATTTATTATTAGCGAACCCAAGAGGGATAGGGATGGCTGAAGAGAAATTTCCCTGGTCTGTAAATTTCCCTACTGATTTATAAGGCCACGTGGAATCATTAAATTGATTCAGTTTCACATTCCCCAAGGAGGCGGCCAATGCTCTTCTCCTGGGGCCTCGGCAGAAGATGAGTCAGGATGTCAGTGACACCACAATGGGGGACCCAGAGCCAGGGATACACCCCCGGCCTCAGGAGGCCATGAAGATGAGAGGATGCATGGTGGGCATAAGTTTAGGGTTTGGGAAGAATAAAAACAGCCTCTTGACTAAACATATTTTACCTGGATAATTCTCCAGGTACTCTGACTCTAGATTTTTTTTCTTAATTTCTTAGATTTCCTCGAGCCCTAAAGTAATTTGGTAGATAAGGCACATCAGTCAGAGACCGGAGCCCACACTCTGACTTGCTCCCCAGAGCCTGAGGGGAGAGGCAGAGCTGTGACTGTGGTGTCCTCCTCCCTGAGGGCACAGAGTGAGCGTCAGCACCAGAAGAAGCTGACGCTTTCCTGTTCTATCATTTCATATGAAATCTCATCTTCCTTAAAAGTGAGCTGGTAGTTTGAGCTTTGAAAGAAACAGAGTGTGAATCCGTCTCCCGGCTCTCCCATGCACTTGCTGGCCCACCATGCAACCACGCAGGGCTGCTGGGTCATCTGCAAACGTGCCCGCCATGCCACACGGAGAGGGCGGTGTAGGGATGAAGTCAGATGACGGCCGCCCAGCACTTAGCACTGCTTGGCACATAATAACTGCTTAACAAAAAGTGGTTATTACTGTTCTTTCTATTTCTCAACAACGACGACAATGTTGGTTCTGGTCTGAACATTTTTCCTCCACCCTTCACCAGCACCTAATGGCTGCAGGTGTGTCCCCATCATTACGGACATGACTTTTGCTACGGGAAACTAATACAGGGACAAACGCCTCCTGAGACACAGAGCTGTGTGCTCACTGGGGAGGTCAGGAGGTTTAAGACTGGAGCTGAAGGAGCTCGTCCTTCAGGGATTCACATTGGCAAGGAAGAGAGAGGACTCTGGAGACTGACGGATTCCTTCCCTGTCACTGAAAGTCCTGTTTGCTATGAAGTGATTACGTCATCACCACTGCAAGGCAGCAGTAGTTTCAACAGCATCGTGTGATGGTAGGAATCTCACCTCCACCCGTCTTTCTAGGTGGGAAGCTCGGCAGGTGGACAGGACACATCTGAAGTATCTCCCCTGCGTCTCCAGGCGGCCACCCCAAGAGCCCCTGTGATGTGCCTGTACCAGCAGGAATTGCCCTATGTCTGTAGTGGAGGACGCTGAGCCCAGAATGAGTCGCCTGACAGGCCACGCGCAGTAAGGGCGGGTCTGCAGGCAAACATTTTTTCTGTCCCTGCAGCCCACACTCTTTCAATTTCACATTCTAACACATTTTACTTAATGCCTGTTGTTTGCTATGACGTTTCTAATTCATCAACCGCTGTGCCAGAGTCCCCTGCTCTGTTTATTCTATCTCAGATGGTGACACAGAAAGACAAAGCCTTACCTGTCAGCAGGCCCTCCGGGACGGACACATGTTATCACAACTGGGCGAGATTTGTTTCTGTCATCATGAGCTCCCCCTGGCAAAGAAAAGGAAGATGGCTTAAAAACGCATTCACCACTGCCATTAAAAACCAGTCACAAAACGGCAGCTCAGAAATCCACAGTGATGGGTGGGGAACAAGGGAGCATTTCCTCGAGGTGTATAATAAACAGCCTGAAAGGTCTTATCATTTTACGTGGACTATGTTTTTGAAGTCACCATTTCTCCCCCTTTCAATAAATATATGGCTGTAACAAGGGAATACGTCACACACTCAGCAATTGGCAGGGCAAGTGATCAGCTGATCATGACAAGTCAGGCAGAGCCCCCGGGCTGAGCCCAGTGCAGGTGTGCGCCCAGGGACTGAGCCAAGACGTGGCACCTGGGTCTACAGCCTGACCTAAAGGAAGCAAAGCCAAAAGTAAGAGGAAAAAAGTCTTAAAAAAAGACTGTGGCTCAAGGAGTAGGGTGTCAGCCCCATATGCTGGAGGTGGCGGGTTCAAACCCAGCCCCAGCCAAAAAAAAAGAATAAAAAAAGAAAGCAAGAAAAAAGTCAAGTGACCAAAGTAGTGTCCATTAAAACTGGGGTGTCCAAACAACTAGGGCCAATTTGGCAGATTGGGTTGGGCCAGTTGTAATACTTAAATGGGGATACTGCTTTTTTGTAAAAAAATTTTTTTCTCCCCAAGAATTCTTAGAAACAAACACTTCAAGATGGAAGATAATTTATTGTAAATTCTCTCTTTTTTTAAAATTTTTATTTATTTATTTTTTTCTTTTTTTTTATTTTTCTACAGGCACCCGCCACAACGTCCAGCTATTTTTTTACTGTAGTTTGGCTGGGGCCGGGTGTGAACCCGCCACCCTTGGTATATGGGGCTGGCGCCCTACCCACTGAGCCACAGGTGCCACCCGTAAATTCTCTTTTTAATTCACTTTCATGTGCTTCCTTCATCTGGGCTCCCTCAGCCTCTACCTGAAACCCACCAGTCTGCAGATTTGGGGCTGATTACACCACATTTGGGCACGTTGGGGTCTTAGAAAGTCTGTCCTAGTGTCTAACTGATGCCTGTCTTCCTTTAACTCAACCACTGGTCTTTACTGTTGTTTAGAGCAGCAAAACAAAAGTCTATGCTCTCTTCAACAAACAAGTTTTTCTCAAAGTTGAAAACAGATTATACACCTGCCAAGTCTCATCTTCTTCTTTTATTCTTGGAACAGTCTTACTATATTGCCCTCAGTAGAGTGCTGTGGTGTCATAGCTCACAGCAACCTCAAACTCTTGGGCTTAAGTGATTCCTTTGCCTCAGCCTCCCAAGTAGCTGGGACTACACACGCCTGCCATAATGCCCAGCTGTTTTTTGGTTTCAGTTGTCATTGTCGTTTAGCAGACCTGGGCCAGGTTCAAACTTGCCAGCCTCAGTGTATGTGGCTGCCATAGCCACTGTGCTACGGGTGCTGAGCTGAGTCTCATGTTCCTAAGGCTGAACATGCCCAGTTTCCTGAACTGTTATTCTTCTTATGACCTGATTTCCTTGTACAGCACTGCAGTTCAAGAAGTTGAGGCAGGGGAGGTTTGCATCAGATTCAGACACATGGACAAGGAGCGAGAGGTAACTGGGATGGGCCCTTGGGAGCAAAGCATGGCAGTCAGTGAGCTAGTTTAGAAAGTGTGCACAGGCAGAAAGCCTTGGAACCTCACTGACCAGCACTAATTGTGTAAGAATGAGGTCACATTGCTTAATCACAGTCACTTAAGATAACATGACACCTGCCTCAGTCGCCACCCTGGCTGACCACCCAGGGGCCTCTAGTTGCTGATGTCTGATAAATATGAAAACTACTGTCAACTATTCCTTTCTTAGTATTTTCCTCCTACAGCAGACTGATCCTTTCCAAACTGCGCACAGGTACGGAGGTCAATTTAAAGAATCTAGCCTAAGAAAACAATTAAAAGCATTTGCCATCCGGACCCCTGTGGTCAGATTTGTTACCCGTGACCTTCAGTCTGGCTGACGGGTGAGAGTCCCATGTCAGTATTTCACTCTTTGATTCAGTGTGATGGCTTCTTTAAAAGTTCCTCCTTACTTAAAATCAGAAATTCCCCACTTTCCCAGAGAAAAATTTAAAATGAAAACTGAGACACTAAGTCATATCAAATGCTGACCCCATTTGTGTGAATGCTGTTAAGTGTCTCCTCCTTCACAGGTGATAATGAGAGGGCAGGTCAGCTCCCCTAACGGGACATTTGTTCAGAAAAATAACCGGAGCTAAGAAAGCCAGAAAGCTGTCCGTAAGTTTGACGCGTAGGTCCAGATGTAAACACGGGACAGTGAGTGCAGGTTAACATGCGGACAGTTCCACATGCCCTGGTATGAGGCATTTATCTTTATTTGTAATGAACCAAGTTCTTGTGGGACTCACTGAGGTTCTAGGAGTTGGGAGTGACATGGAGAGACAGAGACCTCTCAGGGACAGTGATATTTGCAGTCCTGGCCACACAGTGGCATTAATGGACACGCATTTTGGAAATATCAGTGCCAGAACCACAGAGACTGAATCTGAACATTGGGCAGCATCTGTTGGTGGTTTCACAGTGGAGAGTGACTAGATAGAGAAGGCTCCCTTGTCCACAGTGGGAAGCAACTTAGCAGCAGAGAGCTTTTCCTAGTAGCCCAACCCATCTCCTTTGGCTCAGCAGCAAGAAATTAACTCAAAGTTAACTCTCCAAGACGTAGGCCAGACATGGTTTTTCACTGGATGCAAGGTTTCAAATGGAAAGTCAGAGTCTTAGAACCTATGACTTTATGGCATTAGGAATATAATGTTATTCATTAGCTAAAGGTTAATTATAATCAAAGTTCCATTGTAATGTTAAGAAAAAATTTTCCAGTATGAAATTAATAGAATCTATCTGCAATGAATACCCCCTCCCTAGGGTCCTGGTGAGCTCCAGTGACTCCCCCTCTCCCTGGGGTCCTGCTGAGCTCCAGTGACCCCCCCTCTCCCTGGGGTCCTGCTGAGCTCCAGTGACTCCCCTCTCCCTGGGGTCCTGGTGAGCTCCAGTGACTCCCCCCCTCTCCCTGGGGTCCTGCTGAGCTCCAGTGACTCCCCCCTC